ATCCATCATATGACGTCATTTTCCACTATATGGCTGAGGGCTACATTATATGCTGTTTTATTGAGGCCTTTTTCTGTTGCATTTCTGACTATTGCTTGGCAACAGAATACATGATTTCAACTAAATGGGTATGTTGGTATTGATATAAAAGTGTGATATGAATGTGTGTATTGAGAAAATTATGTGTGTGTGTGTGTGTGTGTGTACAGGGAAACAGAAAGGGTTTCCTGCTCATCACATTTTGCACATATTCGTCCCTTTCCTTCTCTTTTTTATGCCACACACCACATCCTTTGAGCTCTTCATTAGTGAGAAAATGATTCAGCTTATCCTCAAGAACACCAATGTGCAGGGAAGACGAACAGCAGTGGACTGAAGAGATGTAGATGAAGAGGAGATGTGGGCCTTTATCGGGTTGCTAATCCTGGCTGGAGTCTACATATCCCGGGATGAAGCGACAAGGAGCCTTTTGGCAGAGGACACAGGATGATCAAAATTTCGCACAACAATCTCCTGGAAGAGGTTCCAGCGGATCAGCATGACCCTCAGGTTCGACAACCGCCTGAGTAGACCAATGCATCAACGGAGGGACAAGATGGCTAAGATCCGGGGTTTGTGGGATTTGTGGAGCACCCGCCTCCCCCTCCTTTTCAATCCAGGCTGGGGTGTATGTGTTGATTAACAGCTAGTCCCTTTCAAGGGACGCTGTTCAAGGTTGTTGGCAACTACAGATGTTGTCGGAGGTCCTGCAGGTGGCCATAGACCCTTTTTTGCAACATCTTGGACGTCTCCTAGAATGCCAATTCCAGCTGGAACCAAAGGGGGCGCCTGTTTCTTGAGGAGTTGGGTCCGAAGACGCTGCATGCCGCGCACACCAGCAGCAGCCACACTGGTGGCACAGGTCTAAGGCCAAGAAACAGAACAAAGGGAAGAGCCAGCGGGCCCTTGATGAGGTGCAAGAATGCACATTTTGCACACGACAGCGAAAGGTCTAGACCTAGTGTGCCAAGTGCAGCAAGTATTCATGCAGAGTATACATGAAAATGATCTGCAGCTCCCGCTCCACTTACTGTACTCTCTTACCAACACACACACAAACTGTTTTATCTTTTGTGTTTTTTTGGGTTAATATTCACAAAATGGCATTAAAGGGTTAAAATGATTTAAGAAATACATGTACATTTAATAGTTATGATCAGGACTGAAGTTGGTCAAAAAGATTTAATGCAGTGAAAGTGAAAAAAAAGATTCACATACAATATTTTTATAGCACTTTTTAGGAACTGAAAATGTTTTGCACAAAGGGTAAAACATCATCATTTTCTGAAGGGTTGCAAAACAAAAATGCACAAAAAAATCAAGGAAGTAAGTCTTTATCTTAAACTGATAGTTTAAGCTGAGACACGTCCAAATAATATTATTATAATTCACCTGTAATTTAACATTTTGAATTCTTAGGCTTCAAATGTATTTACTGGGTGGTTCTTTGGGAAAAACCTGTCCTGCCAAGCAGAGAAGCAGAGAAAAGTAGAGACTAGTTTCCATCATGACAACTGAAACAGGGTGCTTTCAGAACGGTCGCAGCATCTATATATCGGTGCGTCACATATCATTTCTGAGGTTGAAATATTAGGCCATAGATAAGCATGACATGTCTCAGGTAGGCCTTATGCTGTATGTATGTATGCAGCTGAAACACTACACTACAAAAAATATGCCTCCCACCAATCCCACTACATCTATGGACTAACACTTATCACAAACCAACAAAAAGGAACTTGTAACCTTCTCTCCTCCCAGAAGAAAAATTAAAACTCACACATGCTACGCCCCAAATGTCATGACTCCTGCGTGATTGTGTGATTGTGTGGTTTTGTTTTCTAACCTAGTGTGAGTGAGGTGTGCTTATTGGGTTTGTCTGCCTGCTTGTTCCCTCCCCCCTAGCCCTCTCTCTCTCTCTCTGTCTCCTCTCACTTGCTGGTCACCCACAATCAAGCACACCTGCCTTCAATCAAGACTGCACCTCACCGCTATAAGAAGCCTGGCTGAAATCCCTGCCGGGTCGTTGCACCACACACAGTATGTTGTGTGCCTTGCTTCAGCTCCTTGAACTTGTTAGCCAGTGTAGTCTTTTGATTGTCAGCCTTTTTTTTATTTTTATGCATGCTGACATAAGGTAAAAGCTCCATCCTTATTCTTCTTGATCTCATTGCTGCCTGTGATACCATCAATCATGCCAGTTTACTTGATATATTACAGAACTGGGTTGGCATTTCGGGTACAACTTTAAACTGGTTTCATTCCTATTAAACTAATAGAATATTTTAGTGTCTGCATTAATAATCATGTTTCCTTCTCTGCTCCCCTGCTGTGTGGTGTCCCTCAGGGGTCGGTTCTTGGTCCAATTCTGTTCTCCTGTACATGCTTTCTCTGGGTCATTTTTTCAGCCGTTTTCCAAGACGTGTCATACTACTGTTATGTCGATGATACACAGATCTACTTCTCTGAGAAACCCAATAACCTGAATCAACTGTCCTCCCTCCATGAGTGCTTGGCTGCCACCAAAGACAGGATGTCTCCTAAATTTCTCCACTTAAATCCTGACAAACCTGAAATCATTTTATTTGGCCCTGAATTATCAAACCCACTGCTAAGAATCTGGGTATCCTCTTTGACCAGTATGACATTTGACCACCATGTTACAAAACTTGTCAAGTCCTGTTTCCTGCAGCTATGAAATATTGCAAAAAATCTAACTCCCTCTACACGTGCCTCATTCAAGCTTCCTTAAATTGTTTACAGTTAGTACAAAATGCACTTTTAACCAGAACCAGCCGTTGGTCCCACATTGCTCCGTTGGCTTCCTGTGAAATTCTGAGTCAGCTATAAGATCTTACTGATTAGGCAATTCATGTCCTTGTTCCTCATTCCACTCCTCGGCCTCTTAACTCCTTAAATCTAGGCCTTTTATCCCTTCCCTGCTCCAACTGCAAAACTAAAGGTGACTGTGTCTTTGCTGTTTTAGCCCCAACATTCACTCAGATTCACTAAATCTGTGGACTGTTTTAAGCAGCTCCTCAAAACCCACCTCTATAGGCAAGTCATTTTATAGATCTCCTTGTTTATTTTCTCATCTGTCGTCTCTCTTTTAATGTATCCTTTCAGTCTTGTTTTATCTTCCATATGTTTGTATTTATACCCATGTGTGTTTATATTTTTATTTGTTTGTTTGTTTGTGAAGCACTTTGTAACTCTGTGTTAAAAAAGTGCTGTATAAATAAAGCTTTTCTTACTTATTTACTTACTTACTTGTCCACAGGGACCGACACAGAGCAGTTGGTTTGGTTGGTGGTAAAAGAGGAGGTGGAGCTGCATTTTATGTCCACTCTTTTTACAAGAATCAGTAGATAAAATGACAGAAGGGTCATGTGCCACCAGATATGCGTTGCTCAAAAAGTTGATATCTGTGGGTTGGTTTCCTGTGAGAGGAAACTGTGTCTTTAGAAGGTATCTGATGCACAACACTTTTTGGGAATGACTTATCCTTCCAAATTGTGCTGTGCTGCGATTCAAACAAAGCTTATCAAAATCAAACACAACTCACATAAAATCATAACTGAATTGTTACATTTAGTTTGAAATATGTCCCAGAACACAGTTTGCCTTTGATCTTTTGCCAACCAATATTGCAAATAATAATAAAAATAATAAAAATAATTTCTTAGTCAACCCCGACGTCTGTGACAAACTTTTAACTTGCCATTTGATCTCTGACGTCTTGACAATCAGCTCATCTCAGCTCATTTCTAGTAAATTGGACAGGGGTTTTTTGTGCAAATGTGTGATTACTGAGTTCTTATTGTTCAGTTTTTTTTTTTTTTACATAGAAAGCATGCAGATGTATTTTTGCTTATCTTGTCTCTGTGTGGCCAAGTAAAACTTTTAGACACTGGTGCAAAACAGAGTTGAAACTACAATCAAATATTGGTATTGCATATAGTTAAAATGCCTCATGGTGCTGAAGTGGTTGAAAAGTCCTTAATATTTTTAACATAATTGCTTTTAAGTATCTTGAACAGATATCTTCACACAAGGCCATACATAATTTATCAATTTTCTGATCCTTGCAGTCATGCAGGAGATGTGTCAGTTGTGGATTGTGAAGTGTTGGGAAACTCAACCTTCACTGAGATGCCTCCTGAAAGGGAACCTGCTCTACCTCCTCAGATGAGACTGTGAAGGTGGAAGAGGCGCCGGGGCAGACAGGTCTGAGTCACAGAGACTGACAGAGCAGTTTGTGTGGTCGAAGGTGATAGAGGAGGCTCTGTTTTCTTCCAATGTGAACACAAATGATCATTTAACAGCTTAATTCTGCTTTGATTCTGAACTGATTGCATTTTATAACCAAAATGGCAGACCAGAGTGAGTCAATGAAGTGATGCGAGTTACTGAAACAAAGTTATTAAACTATATTATTATTATTATTATTATTATTATTATTATTACATATATTATGATATTATTATATAGAATGAAAAAAATGTGCCCTTCACGTATTTTATCGTTAATTTTGTTATTTCTTATTTCATTTTTATCTCTGTGGAGCACTTTGTAACTTTGCTTTGATAAATGCTTTGATAAATAAAGTTTATTATTATGATATTCATCTATACATATATTTAAAGTTATGATGATGTATATTATACTCACAATACATTATTTCACTGCACTCAGCATCACCTGTGTGACCATTACATAATCTACATTAAAATTACACAATATATGTCTATAATAATGAAAAATCACCTTTTGAAATGAATGAATGAATGTATATGCTACTTCTCTCATTGTATTTCCATTTCATTTTACCTATATTTACTCTACCGTTTGTTTTTGTTTGTTTTGCCAACCATCAAACCTTCAAGCGCCATGATGTGTCGCTGCTACCACTACCCCCCTACTCACGTCTGGGGCTTTTATTTTGAAGAACCGGAAGTTCCCGTGTTTTGATAACGGCTGCGGAAGAAGCTGTCATTTGCTGTCGTCTCGCCGATTCCCCGTCCAAGCAGTTAGCTGTCCCCTCAATAACAAATATAAAAACCAAATTTAAACCGACAAATGTAACCGTAGTCACATAAAGCCACCATGGGATTTACACTGGGACGCTGTCTTGGTGCTGAACCGTCGAAAGCGCTCCCGTTGTTTCCCTTTCTGTTGACATTCCTGCTCGTCGGGATCCAAGGCGACAGCAATGCGATGGATAACGTCGCAACTGAGAGGATGGCTGAGGAGAGCCACCGACAGGACAGTGCCAATCTGCTTATATTCATAATGCTCCTAACGCTCACTATTTTAACCATATGGCTGTTCAAACACCGGCGTTTTAGGTTCCTGCACGAAACAGGACTAGCGATGATCTATGGTAAGACCACTGGCGTTCACTTGGACCTAGCCTCAGTGCTAGCTGGATGTGGTGCTGTTAGCTCCTCAAAACTTAACCACAGGGCTGAAATTGAGTCTCAGGTTTCAGGATACGTCGGGGGGGAAGGCTCCCTGGGAGATATAATATACATATGCATATATATGTTGTATACTTAGTGACATTTTGTGGTTTTTTTTCATAGAGTTTGTCTTCTGTCAGCTGTCATATTAACAGAAGACTACAAGGTGATATTGTTAAGCTATTAAACTCACACTCATCCCCTTTAACTAGACACCTGCACCATCAGTCATTTTCATTACAGTGGGAAGCTGCTTTGATGAATCATCTTTTCCTTTCCCAACACAAGCCCATCCCTTCCAGTATAATTAACTTGGCCCAATTAATGTTTGTTTTTTGTACGACACCAATCTAATTAAAGTATTTAGCACGCCCAAATAATTAAATACAACCTCACCCTATTTTGCTGCAACCTGTGTCCTCCTTTAAAAGATTAGTGTTTATGAACTGGCTTTTTAATTTGTTTTATTTTTTATTTGTGAAGTACTGCGTAAGCTATATTTCTTTTACCCCAGATCCTTGACTAACTGATGTGCCTTTACTCTCTTTTCCTCCTCTCTGAAGGCCTGTTGGTGGGTGTGATCCTGCGGTTCGGCGTCCATGTGCCCCAGAGCATGAGTGACGTGATCCCCAGCTGTGCTGTCAACGCCAGTCCCGCCACTCTGCTGGTCAACGTCAGCGGGCGCTTCTACGAGTACACTCTGAAGGGGGAAGTCAGCCGGGGGAAAGGTCACCAAGTGCAGGATGATGAGATGCTGAGAAAGGCAAGGGGATGAACAGATGGAGGATTGGAGTGGAGGGTGCGAGTGGTTGTTTTTTGGTGTACTGCTCTCACCCAGCGTATGAAATTACCAGTGTGCATGCGACAAATGGCAGAAATATATGTATTATAGATGCATTTGTGAGGGTTTGTCGGTGAGATGAAAACCTCAGCAGATCGCTGTCAATAAAAATGCTGGCAGGTAAATTATGTTGATTTACTGGTGTGTACTAGTAGCGTTTCTGAAGAATGTTTGGTAAGATGTGTCAGGTTCAGCGGGAATTGACCACTTGAAAATAGTTGTATAACCTCTTATAATTTACTACTGTCTTCAGGTGACCTTTGACCCGGAGGTTTTTTTCAACATTTTGCTGCCTCCCATTATCTTCCACGCTGGTTACAGTCTAAAGAGGGTAAGGAATACACTAATAAAGAATAACAATAATACACAAATGATGTAAATGACATATCATAACAAATAAAGTTGGATCCCAAATGAGATCTTAAACAAAAGGTAATATTATTATTATTAGTTTGTGATTCGTCACCTACAAGTTTCCAAACATATTGAGATCTTTTTTTAATGATGATGATTGTCTGTAAGTACTAGACAGCTTCTATTTTAGTATGTTCCTTGTTTGCTCAGAGACATTTCTTCAGAAACATCGGCTCCATCCTGGCCTATGCTTTCATGGGAACAGTCATTTCCTGCTTTGTTATTGGGTAAGTCATTTAGTAATCCTTTAAATAACCTCAGAGGATGCTGTTTTTTTTTTGTTGTTTTTACCTCTATGCCTTACATTCAGACACAAATACAGCAACAGAGTTTGTTCAGAACATTTTGCCTAATTTAATCTGATCAGTTTGTTGAATGAACGAGCAGTACCAGTGTCTTTTATGACTTGTACATATCCTTTCCTCCTAGGCTGATCATGTATGGCTTTGTGTCCTTCATGAAAGTTGTGGGCCAGCTTGGGGGAGATTTTTACTTTACTGACTGCCTCTTCTTTGGGGCCATCGTTTCAGCAACAGACCCAGGTAGGTAGTGCCATAAAACATAGCGATGTATATGTATTATAGAAGCAGTGGTGGCACATTATTGTTCTTGTTAGTCTTGAGTCTTTGCTCCTCTCCTGCTGTACGATATCTGTGTTGCTTATACTCTTAAATGTTATTTATCTCCTCTGTGTCTCAGTGACAGTGCTGGCTATCTTTAATGAGCTAAAGGTAGATGTGGACCTGTATGCATTACTCTTTGGGGAGAGTGTCCTCAACGATGCTGTGGCCATCGTCCTCTCTTCGTAAGCATTAATTACACACTGCGGAAATATGCACAAACACAGTCCACACAACGGTATCTACATTTCAAGAGTCATTAGTTGCCTTAGAGGTTGGTAGATCCCTTCCTACCTGTCTCCAATAGAAGTGATAGTAAGTGATTGGGGACAAAAATGCAGAGCCCTCTTTTTGTGCAAAATGCAACCTAAGTTCAGTTGAAGCTCACGTGAGCTCCAGCTATCTGAGTTAGATAAATGAAGTGAGTGCAAAGTTATCCACTTTTTGGTACAAAATTCAGATTTCCTGCAGTGTTTTTCCTCACTTAGCTGCAGCTGAGGGATAGTAATACAAAGTGGGACGACTGTAACTTCGGAAGATACCTGCTTGTTTGATGTGACTGACTGTTGAAGCCTCATATTAGCTTCAGTTGAACTTTTTGTTGAATTCATTATCACACAGAGCGAAGACTGTGGATTGCATCCTCTATCACTTCAATTAGAACTGCATTAGGAAGGGATATTTTAACAGCCAGTATGGACAGGAGAAACACATTACAGTGAGCAATAACTCTTGAAATGTACATATGGACATGTGAGTATTGTTTTAAGACAGACTTGAAAAAACGTGAACCCACCCTTCATTTTCTAGTTCTGTGTTAATGACTTGCACCATAACGAGGCTAATTCAGATTCTTGTGTTATACATTGCACCTGAATGGACAGTAATTGTACTAACATCAGTCCCTGTCATTTCACTGCTTGCCTTCCTTCACCCATCCGTGTCATTCATCGCCCACCTGTACGTATGTATGTATGCAGTGTTCTCCTTCGCTTGGAGAAGCAGGGTAGGCAGGGGTCTGGAGCTTTGCTCCCCCCAAGAGGCAATGACCCTGTCTGGCAAGAGGGGGCAGAGGAATGGCTGGGAGAAAACCAGACATTGGCTGGGTGGGTGGGTGGATGGGCTGTCAGCGTGGTTGTAGTATTAGAACCTGATCATCTCATTTCAGTGGATGTGATGATTTTCTTTACTTAGAATGTAGCCTCGAACCACCGCTCATTAGGATGATCACTGCCCTCCCCATACCCCATATCCATTCTTTGTGTCGTTTTTTTTGTTTTGTCTGAACCCTAAAGACCCTGCAAATGACCAGAAAAAAAACCCCAAAAACCTTTTTTATGAATGTTTTGGTAATCTATGTGTGTGAAAAGATGTGTTACTGCTGAATATCAGTGCTGGTGATTTGCTTTGTTGGTCTTGGAAGGTAATTTGGGAACTACTCCTCATAAAGGGGTAGCACCTGAATTAGCTGTTTGTGCACTTACTAGTTCTGTTATTGGATATCAACCAAATGGTGTTGAGAGATCCAAGATCCAGTTATAAATGAGAATGCAAGACCCGAACTTCCTCCCTTTTTATGACTGTAAAAACCCAAATCCAGTCTCTGTGAGTTAAGTGTTTGTTGCTATTGTGAAGGAGGTTACCAAAATCCTCTAAATTTATACAAAATCAGATAAAAGACCAGGCTGCTAACATCAACTTTTATTGGATTTGGGTTGCTGCAGGTTTTATTTGATGCCTGATTTCATCTTGAAAGTCTCTCTGTTTGAGTTTTTATGTGAGCACGTGTTTAACATTTTGACCAGTTCCCCTTCCTGCATTCTTAGTAAGAGACTATTTCCTTTTTCCATGTAAATGTTTTTATTTGCGTGTACTCTCCGTCTATCTGCCCTTCAGCTCCATTGTGGCGTACCAGCCTGCGGGAGACAACAGTCACAGCTTTGAGGCCATGGCCTTGTTGAAATCCTTCGGCATCTTCCTGGGCGTTTTCAGCGGATCCTTTGCTCTTGGAGTGGCCACTGGAGTCATGACCGCTCTCATATCCTTTCACCTCTTGCTCACCATCACATAATGCACATTTATATTCACCAGTGTGCATATATAGTAATGCACGAGGGTTTATAAGCAACTTCGAGTTGTATTTGATTTCAGAAAAACTGTTGTGGCTGTCCCTATAGCTGTAACCTTCTGTCTGACTTACACAGAGTTATTTGTTTTATTTAATCTCTTCAGATTGTCTTGTTTTAACAAGGCGATGTCTTTCATACCTCATATGTCAATTATGGGGGCTGCAGGTTGACGTGGGATGTGCCATTCTTTGTTTTGCTCCTTGACTTTCAGTTTTGATCACGTGACCAAGTTCACTAAGCTGAGGGACTTCCCCTTGCTGGAGACAGCTCTCTTTTTCCTCATGTCCTGGAGCACCTTTTTATTGGCCGAGGCCTGTGGGTTTACAGGTACAGCTGCATATATACACCTGTATAGTTTCTGTTGACCGTGTACCACGCTTTCAAGCATGCACATATTTTTAGCTGTCTTAGGTTTTCTTTGTAGGAAGTTCCTCTTAAAAATTATGAGTAATTGATACTGTAAGAAAGGATGAGTCATTCATACCAAGAAAAATTAAACCATCAATTCAAGTAAAGCACACCCTCACTCTCATTAATACTGTGGCTCAGTATTAATGACGTAGAGGTAGAAAGTAGGTGTTTCGATCCCCGCCTCCTCCCCACCGCATCAGAGCAAGATACTGAACCCCGATCAATGTGTCATCGGTGTGTGAATGTGTGAAAGGGTAAATTTGGCATGTAGTGTAAAAGCGCTATTTGAATAGGATAAGGCAGACAATAACAATCTATATATATATATATATATATATGTCAGTCTCTCAATACTTTCCGACCTCCCCACCCATTGGTTCTAATTGAACACGTGAAGTTAAAAGATAAATGTCACCCTACTGCAAGATAGAATACTTAATGTAGCATCAATTAATTGATGGATTTGTATTTTCATGGGATATTTCACTTTTTAAATGTGTTTGATCCCCCTCCACTGAAATATAGTGCAGTGTGTTTTGAGTTATATTTGATGTTACAGCTGTGTAATCTTTGTTTTTCTTCAGGTGTAGTGGCTGTCCTGTTCTGTGGGATCACTCAGGCTCACTACACTTTCAACAATCTCTCCCCTGACTCTCAGGACAGGACCAAACAGGTGATAAGCAATCACTTTTATTTTGTTCTTGATCCCATTGTGTCTATTACTATCTTTTAAACAGCTTTAATCATTGCTCTGTAAGCAAATTACACATTTTGCCAATACTGCTACTACTACTAATAATATTGATGCTAATTAATATCTTAAATTTGTATAAAAGTTAAATAAATCAAGTTTACAAAGTCACCGATTTGATAAAAAACTGAGAAATACCTTGAATGAAAATACTCAGAAAAGAGGATGTTTTGAATCATCTGTGCTTTGGCAATAGTACAAGTCAGTAGATATAAAAAGCTCATTCTAAGGTAACAAAAACAATAATTCCTCTATTGAGGTGATTATACACTAATGAAAACCTAGTTATGCACTTTACATTCCATTTCTGCCAAAAGATCTTTGTGAATGTTACACACTGGACCTTTAATGGAAGCGTATTGAGGCCAACACACCACACCAAATCACACCATACAACCACCAACACTGTGGCGGTATATACCACAGCACTGTGTTTGTGATGGGTTACATAGGATCTAAACTTGTGTAATGCTCGTCTGTATCAACACCAGCAGTGAGACTGAGGAGAAACAGACAAGTTTTGGTATCTCTAATAACTCTAACGTTAGTTTGAGAGCCTGAAAACCAGAATTTATGTTCTTCTTATTTGTGTTTGTTGAGATCATTGACATATATTACGATGGACTCTCCAAAAGTGAAGCCAAAACATCTCAATTGCCCCCTGGTGGCTGACTGCAGTATAGGTCTTAAAGACTGTTGCCCCCATTTTTAAGAGATGGGACATGTATCAAACAAACAAAAAAATTAAACTACACTTCAAATGTATTTTTCTCAAAGATGGTTTCTTGAATTTTAGTCAGTTTTTATCACACTGATGTATGTTCAACTGTTATTTTTTCTGATAATTCTGGTTTTAATTAGTTATTTGAAGCCATAAAAAGGGAGTTTGACAGCTGACCCGAGCTTGCAATTGAGTCGGATGGACGTATGGACTTTTGATACAGTGACGCCAACCGCTACTGCGTGGACTCCGAATGATGAAAGATAACAGCGGCCACATCCTGGAGATGTTCTGTCGATGGTTGAGATAGTCACTTAGCTGGATGCACAGTTTGTTCTCAGTTATATTCAGAACATCAGCGTACAACACTGTTCGAGTGATGCTTAAAAGTTAGTAGGAAACACATTTTGAGGATTTTTAGAGTAATGTAACTATTAAGTAAATTAAGAGTTGCAGATAAAACTGACGTCCTTTTTATCTTTTGTGGCTGTAACTTAATTATAAAAGAGTCAGACACACATAGTATTCAATGAGGAGGACTTACATTAGATTTTAGGGAGTTATAGCTTCTGACAGATTGGACATAGCTCGGTTTTACCTTCTCTATAACGATATATTTATCTGGGCGGCCAGTGAAGGCTGTAATGAATCATTTTGTTGGCTTTAACTAGTTATCAAATTAATACCAATGCAGTACAGTTACTAAATATGGTTAACATATACATTTCTCTCTAAATTTGATAAGACGGGTAACATTTTGCACTCGTGCCAGCTAGAGGTGTCTGACAACGTAGTCAATGCTGATAAAGTTTAACCACAGGAAATGTTCTCATCAAACTTTCCATCCAAAGTGATGAGAATGCAATGTGTTTTCACGCTGTCACATTTTTTCTATGCATGTATATATTTTCAGTTGTTCGAGCTGTTGAACTTCCTGGCAGAGAACTTCATCTTCTCCTACATGGGTTTGACTCTCTTCTCCTTCCAGTCACACGTCTTCAACCCCATGTTCATTATTGGAGCCTTTGTATCCTTTACTCACTGTTAATGCACCACTCGAACAAATCGGAGCAGATCATTGGCTGTATGATGAAGAATGCTGTTCCATGTAACCGCTACAATGTAGTAAATGTTGGGATGATGCCATAGTTCTTGTAGTTAAGTATAGAAGAATGTTGTTTCTTACTGTATTATCTTTCTGGACTATTACGGTCTGCATAACATGTTTTGGATAGCATGTCTGCATCAGTTACATGCAGCAACTCCCCCATATTTATGAAAATACATCTTGATACTAACACTATTACTGCTGCCAAAGCTGATAATAATAGTGTGATTGTACCTTATTTGTATTTTAAAGAATATTTTTTAAAACTAGCAAAGACATTTCATTCACACCTTTCTCATACATTAATTGCTTTGCGATCGATTAACCGGGATTACAGTTCCATAAAAGTTTATTCTTGTAACTGTATTTATGCCTATTAGGTTAAGGTTTGCATGTGTGAATTAACATCCCTCCACTGATGATCTATCAAGTGGGAACTAATCACATCAATGTATAGTTCTGCAAGCTACAGAAGTGGTCTATATGGAGTAAACATGTCCTAGTTTTACCCAGTCTAGCTGTCACTCAGTAGTGTCGAGTAGAAATAGTCATTACAGTACACTTATTATAGACCCTAACGATGAGTTAGAATTTACACCCAGTTTGCCCGCGTTGCGTTACTTCACAGTGTGTTGTGCCCTTGACCTTCTTGCGTTGTGCAGATGGCGGTGTTTCTGGGCAGGGCTGCAAACATCTACCCTTTGTCTTTCCTGCTCAACCTGGGCCGCAAGAACAAGATCAGATCCAACTTTCAGCATGTCATGATGTTCGCAGGTACGGACCTGAGACAGTAAAGTCTCTTCTGTCCTTAACTCTGTGCCCTTAGATTTTGTCCTTAAAGTTTCTCACATGGACCCAAAAGACTGATCTACTTCTCAGCTGGGACCTGGTTCTGTTAAAATAAACTGTCAGCGGATCCAAGTCTGTATTTAAAAAGAACATTAGGCCAGAAAATGGTGTGCTAAGACAGTTTCCTTTTAGACCAATAACACACTCCTACTCAGACACAGTGTTGTTATGAATAACAGCCCCTACGTCAGCTGACATTTTCTGTTGAAACTGGTTAATATAAATAAGAAATCCCCTACATGTCTCCGCACATAATGTTTCTTTGTGTTTGAACCTGTAGAGTCATTTCCTTTTATTATGTATAAAATGTGAACCACTGTGGCTTTACTTTAGTTAATTATATATATATAAAAAAAACTGACTTTTGGCAAACCACACACACACACACACACACACACACACACACTCACACTCACTGTCTTGTTGTTTGTCTCCTCTAGGCCTGCGTGGGGCGATGACCTTTGCTCTTTCAATCCGAGACACAGCAACTTACGCCCGTCAGATGATGTTTTCAACCACCCTCCTAATTGTCTTCTTCACTGTCTGGATCTGTGGGGGGGGCACCACACCCATGCTGTCCTTCATGAGCATACCGTAAGGCGGGGCATCTGTTTGTGTGCATTTGTTCTTCTGTTTGTGTGCATTTGTTCTTCTGTTTGTGTGCCTATCTGCTCTATTGAATATTTTTCTCACCGTTGCAATCTATTCTCTTTCAGGGTTGGGGTGGATTCTGATCAAGACACATCTGTAAGTTTTAGTTTTAGTACTGATTGAAATCTCTTTTTGGTTGCAATGTAACTCTTACTAAAAATAAAAATGTTTAAGTAATGAAAAAGTAACTTTATTATTGTTTTGTTCCACAGAGTTCAGCGGTGTTGGATGGGTCTCAGCGGAGAAACACCAAGCATGAGAGCGCCTGGCCCTTCAGGATCTGGTATAACTTTGACCACAAGTATCCTTTGAGCCATGGATCACATGTTTAAGATCCAGTCTTCAGAAGAGTGGGAGCTAGATTCATCTTTGGACACCAGGGGGTGCTCTTTACAAACAAAATATACAAATACTTTCTGTGCAGGATATTTACAGTATGAAACACATTTAAATTGTTGTTGCTCAAAGGTATATGTGATTTTAAACAATATAGCATCAAACAACCATTTGCAATGTAAAGACATATTGGTGTCCCGAGTAGAGAACGACATCACAGTTTGAAGTGTTTTTATGGTTATCTGCTTGGTAAAGTTACTGGTTTTGTTAGTGGAGTCTGGTTGGCTGTAGTGCCCATTGTTTTGGTCTGAGATGCTGCTCCTCTAGTGCGACACCTAGTGGTGAGTGAATTTCAGAAACAGCACAGTTGCATTCAGTTTTTGACCAATTAAAAGTGTTTAATTGTAAGAAACTGGTTATAGTCCCTGACAAAAGTTTCTCCAGCTATCTGAAGCCTCTCCTGACCCACAGCGGCCCCCCTCTCACTGCTACTATGCCTGCATGTTGTGGACCGCTGGCCAGATGCCTCACCAGCCCACAGGCCTATGAGGTTTGGACACACAGCATGATGTAATAAAGTTAAAGTGGCACTTTTTAAAGGCCCAGTCAGTAACTTAGTGACCATCTGAAAGATACACAGATTCCTTATTATTGTTTTACTGCATTTAAGATGAACAAGAATTAACTTTAAAGCTAACTGTCAACATTTAGTTGTCTAATGTTAGTCCATGTATTTAAAGTTGAAATTTGGTGGTGGAGCTCCCTGTCTGTGTTAGATTTCTCTTCATTTCCTTTCCTTTTTTTCCCCCTTTCCCTTTCCACACACCAGAACGAAGGTCAGCTCCATGACGAAGACTCTGACTTCATCCTGAACGATGCCAGCGTGAGCTCCATGTATGCTGACGTCACCGTCAGCACGGACGCCTCCGGATCCCACACCATAAACCGCAAGCACTCCTTTAACTACAGCGCCGGGGGCGGTCCGTCTGATGAAGGCCTGGATCACGAGCTCGCCTTGGCGGAACACGAAGTCGCGATCAGGGGCACCCGTCTGGTCCTTCCCATGGATGACCCAGTGGAGCCCCCAACCACTGTTACCCTGCCCCCGCCTCCCTCCCCGCCACGCTCCGACCCTCGCAGGCACAGACTGTAAGAAGGCTTGTGCTGTCAGGATGCAGTTTGTTGCTTTTCAACTTCGAAAAAACCACAAATCATCTAACTTTCACAAGAAAATAGCATCTGTTAGTTGATTTGTTTGGATTTTTGATTGAAATGACAAACTGTTTTTAACAGTACGAGTCACATAAAAGCACCACCTCTCTGTCTAATGTGGTTTTAAAATTGTCTCAGCTTTGTGACAAACTCGAGGCGTGCTTGATTTAACTCCCCATTTGGGTGGATTACTGTAATCTTAAATGTGAATGCACTACATGTAAGGCAAGGTACTGTAAATCAAGTGCACCTCAAGGCTAAAGGTTACGTAAAATAACGCGACATGCACATTTAGCGACCATTTGAGGAAGCTAAAAAATGGAGCTGTAGTATATGCTCCTGAGTTTGTACTACTGTGGTGATATGCCAGTGCTGTTATCTATGCTCTCTGATAGCCCCTGACTCCCTCCGACGGGGCGATTCCTAAACGTTTCATATGCAGTTTACTCTTCTCTCTGTGGTGAAGTTGCTCCTGACAACAGGACCTGTATTTGTCTAGCTTCCTTCAAGTATTAGTAAGATGACCTACAGTAACACTAACACTTAGAGCGGTTCACTTTGCTCTGGTACCACCACTTACACTTCAGTTACATTACTAATCTTATCTAGCCACAGTGTCCAGTGTATTTCTTTCTGTGTCTCCCTCTCACAGTTCATTAGTGGAGAGGGTTCTTTGTGATAATGGGAGCAACTACACGAGGACATTGATATCTGCGATGGAAGCTGTATTAGGAGTTTTGAATTTTAAAAGAAACACAATCTACAACAAGATTTTAAGTAGATGCAATGAGGCCAAAAACTCAAACTGCTTCAGCAGTATCCAGGAGAGTCTCCACTATCTTCAATCTTAAATCTTAGCACTGTCTGCCTCTTCTCTTCTCGATCAGTTGTTTCACTCGTTAATTTATTTATTTAACAAAAATCATTTATTTGTGTAATGATTAATTTTGTTTATTTATTATTTATTTATGGTTTTGTGACATTAATGATTATCTTGCCCTGTTAAAAAATATAGGACTGCTTGGTGGTGAGAGGCTGTTGATACGCACCTTTAAGCACTAAGGCTCTTCCTACACAAGGTACGCTGTACAGTAGGGAAGTCACGAGGAAGGTGGATGTTCATTCTTTAACTTTGTGTGCATGTTAAAATATCTCCTTCCTGTACTGTAGCAGATCCTTCTACTTTATACTTGGAAACTAGAGCTTCCCTGTGTGTGCATTTTACAAGTGTGTGTGTGTCTGTGTGTGGGCTGATGTCAGAATGAAATTGTCTAAATCTTTAGGGCTAATGTTTGTTTCTTGGTTTTCTGTCGTCATCTGGTTTATTCTTCTTTCTAAAAAAAACAAAACAGCAACAAACAAACAAAGTAACTGCCGTGTCTTTGTGATGTTGTATCATCAAAGATGACTCTGAGGGCTGGCTGAACTGTTTTGAATTAAAGTGCCTATTCAGAAATTCAATTATTTAATGTAGATTTGTACATATTTTGATTTGCTAATGTGCAGCAAGATGATCTTTCTTGATCCTTTTTTTTATATGACACTAAACCCTTTGATTGCTGTTGAATACTGTATTTCCAGTATGATTAGGCCATTAGCTGACTGCCTGTAGTGTAATTATTTGTTTTTGGTGTATTCAAAAAAATAAGAGCCCAAAAGAGTGCAAACTAAAATGTTGTACTTTAATTAATAGGAAATAACAAGTATCACTTATATTTTATTGAATATAATCATTTGTGAATGATGTGTGGAAAATATATTCTTCCTCAAAACGAATGTGTGGCACTTTTAAATGACACAATAATAGACTGAATTTGAGGGTTAGAACCTGGCCACCTCTTTTTATTTGCCAGTAAGGTCAAAGGAAAGATACCACTACAAGAGAATACCACCAACATTTTACTGATGCAGTGTTAGTCTATTTTGCTCCTTGTTGGGCAACCAAGCTCGTCTATTCTGTTCCCACCTCAGTGAGAGATATTTCGCACTGAGGAATCTCCGTAGCTGAGAGAGATCCTTGTTTGTCCTGTTTTCTGCTGAGCAGGTCAGATTTTTATGACCAAGGTAGGAATGACTTCCTGGTCCAAATCATATTTTCAAGACGTTCAATAGTTTATAGCTGCACGTGAGTCTTTTTGATCTTCAAGGAGTATTATTAATATGAGTTTGTGCGTAGTCATCCAAAAGTCTGGGCATGAGTGAATTTGCATTTTCCCCCTTCATTAAGGTACCCTTTAATTTTAATTTGTTTTAATGTAACTGAACCATAACAACAGTTATTTATTTATATATATATATATATACACACACACTATAGTTTAAATGGGATTTTTTGGGAAACAGTTATAATCTATCAATAGTGACACACCTAAAAATCTAAACATGTTTGATTTTGTTGACAGTTGTGTTTGTGAAAGGTACACCTGCAATCTTATATGTGAATGTTTTTGAAATAAATGTGAATTTTTGTTGAGGGGGAAATAATCTCAGATTTAATAGATTTTTCTCTGTGTAGTGTTGAAGTTATTAACAGTGTCTCCTCAGTCAGACATCTTGCAAGTGTACTAAAAAATAAAAACAATTCTTGAAAATGACGTCTCTTTCAAATTATGCCTTCCCGTAATTACTTCCCTTTAACTGCTTTGTTATATATCATTGGGGTACTTAAGCAAATGTTCTAAGTTTTCAATCATTCATTCTTAAAATGTGTTACTTTCCGTATTGAAACTCCTTTAACAATGTAGAGTCTCCGTAACAACTGAGCAAACCCACTGATGAAGACTGAGGTGAAATTGAAAGCTTTGGAAAAAGTAAGTGGACATTTAGTTAATATTGTTTTTTGTATTTCCAAGGTCAAAGATGAATCTTCACTCCAGTTTCTGCTTGTTTATTTCTCCTAAAATTACAACTTGGAGGGTCCAGTGTGTAGGATTTAGTGGCATCTCAGTTTGAGTCCAGCTCAGCCTTCCAAGAATGTAATGTTAAAAATATGGCCATAAAACTCACACAAACAGACATATCTAGAGCTACTGTAGGAACATGGAGTCTGTGGAAGAGGAGCCGGTCCCTCTGTAGGTAAAAACAGCTTATTCTAAGGCAGTGGTTCCCAACCTGGTGGTCGGGACTCCCACTAGGGGTCGCAAGGCCTTCTTGATTTTAAATTGTGCAAAATATACAATATACGTATATTGTATGTGAAGAAATGTAAATGTATATTGTATAAAAGAACAATAGCCAAATGTCAGAGACTTGAATTTGTCAATAAAGATGCCTATATATGATTTTAAAATTATTTAAAAAATACATAATACTTACAGAAGTGTATAAAAACAGGAAATAATCTGCTCAAAATTCACCCAAGTTGTTTTACACAAACTACTTGCAATTAATGAGTTCACTATTGGGTTCATTGTACAATTTTTAATATAATATGAAATATCCATAAAATATGTCACTTAATCAGGGGTCGTCCGTTTAGAAAACGGGTCAAAAAAGGGGAAAAGGGTTGGGAACCATTGGTCTAAGGTAACAAAAACACAATTATTCCTATATTCAGTTGATTATACACTAATAAAAACATACCTATGGATATCATATTCCATTTCTGCCAATAGATCCTCCTAAATGGTAAACACTGGACCTTTAACAACTAATAAGTACGTACTTGTTACACCAGCCTGCTCACACTGTCTCTCAACAGCCTTAACATTTTATTTTATTTTGAAGTCGACTCGCTTCGCCTTCTTTACAAAACGTCACGGTCGCTTTTACTTTGAAGGCAAGACATCACCATTTCCTGTCTGAGCCTGGTTGCGTGGTGTCGAGTTTGACGCAGCCGCAGATGGCACTACTTATAAACGTGCGAGGGTCTCGTTACAGCGGAGTCGCGCTGCCTCCACAACAGCTCTCATCCCCCGCCGCAGTCATCACCCTGAACCCGGTAAGCTGGCTGCTGAGCACCGCTGTTTATCATCGCTGTATACAGTCTAACCCAAAGCCGGTTGTTTTTTCTAACGTCGCCCGGTGTTTCACTATGGTAACAGCCTCAGCGTGACCTGCTACGGAACCGTGAAACACCTCTCTTGTTATCAAAGAACCGGGGGTGGATTAAGTTTTACTGTGAAACTTATTACTGCAGGACTGTTTTTGTAGTTTGAGCTTGAAAGATGACGCCTGATGAACCGAACCGCACTTGCATCCTTTATTAGCCCACAGTTAATAAATAACATGCGACCATGATAAAGTTATTGATTTTTATTTAGTTTAATGGCTGATCAATACAGAATGTCCCACTAACAAAAATCTTAAGAGTAGCATGTAACTATCTTGCTCTATCACACATCTTTGATTTCATAAACATCTCACTTGCAGCATATTTTTGATCTCCGGGAGAGGAAACAAGTCTTAAAGTTGTCTGGGGCGTTGGCTGTCTGTCTCTCTCTCTGTCTGTCTGTCTCTCTCCTGTAAGTGTGTGTCTGTGTGTGTGTGTGTGTGTGTGTGTGTGTGTGTGAGAGAGTGAGAGAGAGCTACAGTTACATGCTGACTTGTGGAAGCCTGGGCTGCTTCTGAAATCTGTTTCCAGTTAGGAAGTCTCCCTATTTTTTTTCTCTCTATGATGGAACCACTGAGGCAAAAAATGCATCACAGAGGTCAATTAAAATTCCTGTACTGCTATTTTTCATTGTCCTGTGTGTGTGTGTGTGTGTGTGTGTGTGTGTGTGTGTGTGTGTGTGTGTGTTCATATGTAATCGATGTATATGGCTTCAGTGTTCTGGCTCTGTCTACCATCGTTATTCTGCAAGCGGTTTTGAAGTAAATTCAAGATCCGTAAGTGTTACTGACCTCTTTCTCCCTCACACACACACTCACATGTTTAGGGTGCAACATCTGCCACATATGACATATTTTGGGACCCTTTATATGATATATTTATAGGAAATAGGTCATTAGTTACATTAATTACCAAAAAACAAGAGTAAAAGGAGAAATTTTCAAGTAAGATAGAAGAAGGAAACATAAAGTTGGGCGTTGTGAAACGATGCCTTCGTTGATGTTGCAACTGGAACGTCACAGTTTTGGACACAGGCTAGAAAATGTTGCTGATTTTAACCGTCATGTGGAAGTACTTGTACAGTATTTCTAACAGCACATGCACCAGCAAATACTCAGTGAGAAAACCAAGACCCATATGTGTGACTGACCTTTGGCTGCCTGACACACACACACACACACACACACACAAACTCCCTATGGTGTGTGTGTACGTCTGATTTGAAGCCGGTGCCTGCATGGTAAAGAAATTACCAATGAGCTCATTCCCATAAAATACATCACAGGCTCATAAAACTTTATGCAATTTGTCTGACTTCACGTTATGGTAACTCCTTGTTGTGTTTCGCCTGTTGTGATTTTAATAGGATACAATGTGAATGGGATACAGGCTCTATCGTTCCCCAATGGTCAACTCCACATCTTTAGTAGTTTTTAAACGGGGTGTTTTTGAGTTTTAGCACTCCCAACATTAAAAGGTGAAGTAGGTTTTGATTGAGAAACGTGGCAATGAGTTATCTTTGACCTGCAGCCATTACTGCCTGTTGAGACGTGTTTGGATTTGCTTTCATTAATCAGCGGTTGTGAAATTGACAAAAGAAGAAACCCTTTGTGTTGCTTCATATTATGTGAAAGAAAGGCAGTAAAAAGCTCGACGCTCGGGGCATCTAAGGATGAAAAGGGGCAGCAGCTGCCCAACCAACTGCATGGTTAAAGCTACAAATATGTTTTGATTTAAAGTAATGGGATGCAAATTATTTGAGTTAGTTGAGAGGATGGATACAGCTGATGGTTAGATTAGCATAAAGACTGGAAGCAGGGGAACAAATCCACGTAATAGCAGCTCTAAAGTTTTCACTAATGAATATGTTACATCTCATTTATTCAATCTGTACAAAAACCAAAGTGGTTTATGTGTCGGACTATTTCTTGGCTGGGAGCAGTAACTTCCTGGAGTTTTGTTGTCACGTGAGGTTGCCAGGCAACCAGCAGCGAGTGGTAAAACCACAACTTGTCACTTTTTACGCATTAATATTTTCATTGATGAGCTTTAGAAGCTGTAGGTTTGCATCTTTGGACTTAACCAGACTAGCTAGATGTTTCTAGTCTATATTCTAAGCCAAGCTAATAGTCTCCTGGCTCTAGATTCATATTTAATGCAGGCACCAGACTGGTATTGACTCTTGCCAAGAACAACTCATTTTCAAACTATTTCTTTAAACTTCGAAATAACAGATAAGTAAAACTTGATCTTCACAATCACCAGATCTCAACCCAACAGAACACCTATGGGAGATTTTGAATACACGACAGCACCATTAAAACACAGAATGAGTGAATATATTTTGTGAGAATGGTGTTTCATCCCTTCTGTAGAGTTCAAGAAACTTGTAAAATCTATGCCGAGCAATACTGAAGTTGTTCTGGAGATGTTTTTGGTGGCCCACCGTCTTACTAACACACTTGACTGAGTTGGTTTTTCCTTTAATTTGGCTTCCATCTGTGGGTTCATTCAGGCTTGTGGTTTAATAGTTAAACTGATTGTAAATGATCTAACGTTTGGTCCCCTGAAGGGAAATTTATTTATATATATATATATATATATATATATATACACATCAAATTTAATTAAAATTAAAATTAAATTTTTTTATGCTGGCATTAATTCAGAAATGGTTCAGTTCAAGTAAGGCTTTGGTGTGGTCATTGTTAGCGTAAGAATCTGGAAAACTGGTTAGAAATTGAGATTTGCAGGGATTTTGTTGGTTACAGATTCACGGAGAGAGATTGGAAGCAAACAACCCCTTAAGGCAGCACAGAGGTCTTAAATGTCCCGCATCATTTTAACATAAGATTTTACTGTTACAGGACTGGTGCCACTGTGGGGAGCGTTCACACAGTTTCTCACACACACACACACACACACACACACACACACACACACACACACACACACACACACACACACACAGAAAATGTCAGAGATATTCATGGAAATGGAAATTGGTCATACATTGCTGCTGCTGAAGGTTTCTAGTTTTGTCAGCTGCTCGGTTTTGAAAGACATCTCAGTTACTGAATGGAGAGCTGAGGGAGAGAAAGCAGGGAACAGAAGATGAGTGCGGAAACAGAAGGAGTGCGTAGAGAGAAACAGAACAGAACAGTCAAGGCGAGGTAGGTTGAAGTACAGCTAACCAGCAGCTTCTGCTAAAACCATCAGGTCTGTCCTGTTGTAGCGGAACATGCTGCGTTTGTTCAACCTCGCTCTACACGACTCAGTACTTTATTCCACTGTCTGGAATGTGGCTCATCAGAGCCAAATAAAACAATTATCTTTCTTTGTAGGCTGATGCGGAGTACAATGTTTATCTGCACTTGCTTTTCAGTTTCAAATACTGATGTGTGTGTTTATTTTTGGGATAATATGACTGGAATCAGGGGTGGGAAAGCTCCCAGCGTAAGGCTGCTGCTGTTGGGCCATGATTGTGAAATACAGGGACCTACAAAGCAGATCTTATCTGATTTATATAAACTGGATCAA